AWTTTWAWTTTTTTTTTTTTTTTTTTTTTAGTTTTCGGCGGACACAACATCTTTGTATGTGGTGCTGAGGATCGAACCCAGGCTGCACACGTGCCAGGCGAGCGTGCTATGCTTGAGCCACATCTCCAGCCCCCGACAATACCTTTTGTATTTTATTTATTTTTTTTTTATGTGGTGCTGACAACCAAACATAGGTCCTTGCACAGGCTATAGGTGAGCACTCTACTACTGTGCCACAACCCCAGCCCTGCAAAATTTAAAATACCTTGATTAATAAATGTGTCTTTTCTCCTTGTATAAGTTTTGATTAGACTAAAAACAACTTAAAATATTTTTAACCACATGCAATGGTATGTTCTTGTAATCCCAGCTATTCAAGAGGTAGAAAAGGAGGCTCACATGAGCCCTGGAGTTCAAGGCCAACCTGGACAACACCTCTTAGAAAAAAGAAAGCAACATAGTGGCTGGGAACTCAGTGGCAAAGTGTGTACAAAGGCCTCACCTTCAGTCCCTAGTACCCAAAACACCCCTGCATCACATCAACACATTTTTAGCCAGAATTATATTACTTCTGTATAAGAAAATACTGTTTCCATTTTGTTTATGTCAGGATGTAGATATTACATCTCAAGTTTTACTATTCTCTTGTTTAAGGAGTTAAAATTTATAAATCTGGGGCCAGGTTATGACTCAGTAGTAAAGTACTTGCCTAGAATGCGTGAGGCACTGGGTTAGATCCCTGGCACCACATAAAAATAAACAAGTATGTGTCAATCTACAACTAAAAAAAAAGATATTTAAAAAAATTGTGAATCTGTTCTTTCAGACTTTTTTTTTCCTCCTTTCCTTTTTTGCAGCACTGGGGATTAAACCCAATACCTTGCCCATGCTAGGTAGGTAGGCAAGTGCTGTACACTGGGCTGCGTCCCCAGTCCACTTTCAGACTTTTCCTCCCCTGTACTAGGGATTGAACCACTGAGCCATATCCCCAGACCTTTTTAATTTTTTTATTATTTTTTTCTTTTTATTTTTGGGATAGGGTCTAAGTTTTAGGGCCTCAGTAAGTTGCTGAGGCTGGCCTCAAACTTAAGATCCTTTTGCCTCAGCCTCTTAAAATCATTGAGTTTATAGACATGTGCCACTGTGCCTACCCAGCCAAACTTTTGTAATGAAGCATTTTTTTTTTGCTTGTTGCTTGTTAAATTCATTGAATTTTAAATTATTTTCACAGCACTTAATACCTTTTGGAAGGAGGCAGAATTTTAAATAATTTATTAAACTTTTAAAATCCAAACTTTTTATCTTCTTACTCAGTTGACTGGAAAAAGAAAAATGAGTTTGTAGAGAATTTTTCTTCTAATTGAGCATTAAAATTTCTGTAGAAATCATGACATTTTATTTACGACTTCATTTTTACAATATCTCTTGGATATAAAAAGTAAGCCAAAAAGTAAAGATAGCTATATAAAAGATCCTTGACTGAAAGTAAGAAGAATTAGAGTTTTGGTTTATTTTTATCCTATATTGGTTGAATAACTTGTTGCCATAGTTTCCTTGTTTTTGAAATAGAAATAATACTAATGTCACAAGGTTGACTAAATATAATAGTGTATGTATAATTTCTTTGAAACTCAAAAAATTCTCTATAAATGTACATCTTTCACAGATTGGAAGCATTGAGATAAAATTTGTATGGTTTATTTAAAATAATACAGTATCTACAGATCTGACCAGTACACATTTCTATAAAGTTTTATTGCAGCTATATATTTGCTAATATATAGTCTGTGCTAGAATAACAAAGCTAATGAATTTCAACTGAAATCTTACCAGCAAATCCAGAATTATTACTCTTTTGGCCTTTTACAGAAAAAGTTCACCAATGTCTGGTATAAAGTAAGTTAAGGGCTGGGATTGTGGCTCAGCGGTAGACCGATCACCTAGCGCAGGTGGGACCCAGGTTCGATCCTCAGCACCACATAAAAAAATAAATAAATAAAGGCATTGTATTGTGTCCATCTAAACCTAAAAAATATTTTAAAAAATACTTTTAAAGTAAGGTTAAGTAGCTAGGTCTAGATTTGAAAGTAATTCTCCAGACTCTTAACCTGTGTTATTCTAAATTCTTCTATAATAAACAATGTTGGGGCTTTTTCTTTCTTTCTTTCCTTTTTTTTTTTTTTTGGTTATTGTTGTAGTACTTGGGATTAGGGATTAAACCCATAGTCTCATATATGCTAGGCAAATGCTGTACTACTGAGCACATTCCCAGTCCTTTTACTGTTGTTTTTTTTTGTTTTGTTTTTTTTTTTGAAACGGGGTCTTGCTAAATTGCCCAGGCCAATCTCCAACTTGCAATCATCCTGCCTCATCCCAGGTAGCTGAGAATGCACCATCATACAAGGCTATAAACAAAGTTTTGATGTGTCTAATATACAAACTTTTCTTTAAAATTTCAGAATGAAGACAATATAGACCTAAGGCAGACCTACACTCCACTTTCTTCATCCACAGAATATGCAAGTTCTATAGATTCTTCACTTTTCTATGCACCATGGTCTACTTATGGAGATGATATTAAACAATCTTCTAATTCCCAGATCAATGTAAAGAACAGGTAAATTAATAAGTTAGATTTCTCAAGCTAAATGTGTTGTTTCTTTTTATTACACAGAAACAAAGGTGTAATTAGCTTTCTGTTCCATACATAATAAGCATTTTAATGTTGAGATATTATACTTTTATGTTTATCAAACTTTTAGGAAAGTCTAAAATGCCTTGTATTTATTTTTTAGTTTATCACTTGTAAAGTTTATTAGAGAGAATCTTTAGTAAATAAATTTTAAACTCCTTTTTCTAAAGATGAGTTAAGCCAAATTCAGCAATGGCAAGATGCTAAGCAACTCGTGAGACCCTGACTCTAAATAAAATACAAAATAGGGCTGGGGATATGGCTCAGTGGTTGAGTGCCCCTGAGTTCAATCCCCAGTACCAAAAAAAAATAAAATAAAATAAAGAGTTAAAATTTTTAGATTTTTGTTATTCACTTCTACATTTTCAGTTATTTTTTTCCTTCACTAATGTACAACAAACAGGGTTTTACCAAACAAAATTTTAAGATTGTTTTTTGATTATATTCTATAAATAATAAGGAACTACTCTATGTGACMGAGTCTTCTACTGGGGATACTAGAATTAACATGGCAAGTATTTTACCTGAGTTTATAATATTACAATCATAATGATAATGACGTGACATACTAGTCACTGCTAGTATAGTGAGGGTTAAAAAAAAGAGGGTGGATGGGAGCCTGTTGAAAAGAGAAATTTAAGGGAATGACATTCAACTTTATTTAATTATAAGGCAGCTGTTATAATTTAACAAATAAGAGTTACTTTTGAATCTTATTAATTAAAAAATGTTAAAAATTTAAAATTTATGGTAAATTCTCTGATGATTTTATTAGAAAGCATATATAATATATAATAATTAATTCTCCATATGTATACAGATATATAATATATACTTTTTKGGGGGGGGTTACTGAGGCTTTAACCCAGGGATACTTTACCACTGAACCACATCCCCTGTCCTTTTTGTTTTTATCTATTTAAATTTTTTTGTTGTTGCCAATGAATTTTTTAAAATATTTTAATATTTATTTTTTAGTTTTCAGCAGACACAACATCTTTGTTTGTATGTGGTGCTGAGGATAGAACCCGGGCCACAGGCATGCCAGGCGAGCGCGCTACCGCTTGAGCCACATCCCCAGCCCAGCCAATGAATTTTTTACTTTGTTTATTTTTATGTGGTGTTGAGGATCTAATCCAGGGCCTCACACATGCCAGGCAAGAGTTCTACCATTGAGCCACAACCCCAGTGCCCCTTTTTATTTTTTATTTTGAGACAGGGTCTCACTAAATTGCTTAGGGTCTCTTATAATCCTTCTGCCTCATTCTCCCAAGTTGCTGGGATTACAAGTGTGCATCAACAATGCCCAGCTCCAAAAATATTTTTGCTTAGGGCTCTGCTAAATTGCTAAGGCTGGCCTCGAACTTGTAATACTTCTGCCTCATCTCCCAAGTTGCTGGGATTACAGGTATGCATCACAATACCCAGCTCCAAAAATATTTTTAGATTGATACATGCTATTGAGGAATTCAAACTTTACAGAAATATATATCAGGAAAAGTGAAAGTTCACCTTAACCCTATCCTCACCCCAATAACACTTTTTTAACAGTTTGATACGTATAGCATTGAATATTTTCCTAGATATGTCCTAATACATTATTATTCAAAAAAGCTTTTATGTTGAATTTTTGTGAAATAACAATTTACTAGGAAAAAAGTATTAGACTTGATGGCAGACAGTTTGTTTAGCAAGTGTATAGTTTGGCAAGTAATAGAGCCTTGCAAAAATCAGGTTTCTTAATATCTTCTAATGATCATCCATTCAAACAGTAATAATTGAATGATTACTAATGCCTACATTTTTTATTTTAAAAATTTTTTTGTAGTTGTAGATGGACAGAATGCCTTTATTATTATTTTTTTAAATGTGGTGCTGAGGATCAAACCCAGTGCTTCACACGTTAGACAAGCACTCTGCCACTGACCTACAGCCCCAGCCCTATTACCTACCCTTCTGATGTTATGAAGATCAATTAAATATTTGAGTGTTAGGCAAAAATAAGGTGTTTTTATTTCTAAAATATCCCAATACTTTGAAATGTTGGAAATAAATCACAAAAAGCAAGAARTAACATTTTAAAACAAAGTATTATTTCAAGGAAAGAATTATCCAAAAACCATAAGAAGTTAAATATACCAGTTTTCTATGACCTTATGGTTTTTATATTTTGAATTAGAATACTGTTGATTACTGGTGGGATTTCAAGGGACATAGGACTCCAACTACTTTGGCAAAGATTTAAGGATAATCCTAAAATCTATTATACATAAGGGTCAGCTGCAAAATCACCCTGGAATCTAGGATGACCATATCACATCTCACTTTTTTGTCCAATATAAAGAATCACAAAAATAGAGCAGCAGGTTAATATGATTTTTCAAATCACAAATTAAGAAACTAAGCAAATGTTGACAGAATGATGTATAAGAGAACTAGACATGCTTTCAGGAGCAGCTGTGGTACTATGTCTACAATACTATAAGTCAGAGAATTGTATGTTTATGGAGAAATAAGAGGTAAGCATACATTGTGAACTAGATGTAGAATTTGAAATGAAGGAGAAATATTTATGTAGGATAGACATCATGCCAAAGTAGAATATATTCTTGAGCTCTTGTTCCCCCCTTATTTGAAATAATGATATAGAGTCAGACCAAATATCTTATAAAAATTATGATAGAATATGTCTGGAAGGAGAAATCAACATGCTGTATTTTAACATGAATAAAATAGTTTACATATGATATTTATTTTTAGGATTCAAACCGAAAGAAATGACTATGGCAGTGAAACAGACTTATATGGACTTGTGTCTAATATTCTGGAAGAACAAGATAAGTCACAGCCATATTTTGCTGAAGGGTTAGTATGTTATATACCTTTGTATTGTACAATAATTTTTAAATTCACATATACTAGGTTTAATATTTATTTAATAATCCTCTGACTATAGACTTCTTTTTTAAAAATATTTTTTAATTTGTATATGGACACAGTGCCTTTATTTATTCATTTTTATGTGGTGCTGAGATTGAACCCAGTGCCTCACACATGCTAGACAAGCCCTCTACCACTGAGCTATAACTCCAGCCCCTGACTGTAGACTTCTTAATTCAAATATTTGTTTCTAGAAGCCTTGATTTTGCTAAAGTACTTGCCATACAATTGAAAATTCAGTCTTAGGCTCAATTTGCTTAAGAACTTTCACTTGAAAAAATTATTCTTATATAATTCAGAGCTATTTCCCTTGAATTCATGAGCAAAAGTTTGGCTTAAAGAATATAAATTCCAGCTGGGTATAGTGGTACACACCTGTAATCCCAGTGGGCTTGGGAAGCTGAGGCAGAAGAATCACAAGTTCAAGTCCAGTCTCAGCAATTTAGCAAGGCCCTAAGCAACTTAGTGAGACCTTGTCTCAACAAATTAAGGGCTGGAGTTGTAGCTAGGATGTAAAGTGCTTGCATAGCATGTGTGAGGCCCTGGGTTCGATTCTCAGCACCACATATAAATAAATTAAATAAAGGTCTATTGGCAATTAAAAAAATATTAAAAGAAAAAAATTTTAATAACAAAAAGGCTAGGGATGTGGCTCAGTGGTTAAACAAGTGCCCCTCAATCTCAACCCTAGTACCAAAAAAAGACGTGTGTGTGTGTGTGTGTGTGTGTGTGTGTGTGTGTGTGTACGTGTGTACAGTAAAGACATACTAAGATTAAAATGTATACAGTCACATATTGCTTATGTGTGTGTATGTATAATATATGTATATATCACAAAGAATAAAACTCATTACTCACTGAAGAAATACATGAGTTTTATTCATGTGGTAGAAGCCTTTTAAGTATGTTATAATTGTTTTATTTGAGTGTGGAAGCCATATTGTCCAATTTATTCATAAATAGGGAAATATCCTTCACATATGTAATCAACTAAAAAAAAGTTTTGTGTGTGGTGCTGGGGATTGAACCCAGGACCTTGTGCATGCAAGGTCAACTAAATTTTTTTTTAGTTGGACACAATATCTTTATTTATTTTTATGTGGTGCTGAGGGTTGAACCCAGTGCATCATGCGTGCTAGGCAAGCACTCTTACCACTGAGCTACAATCCCAGCCCAACTAAATTGTTTTAATTTAAAAAATAATTACAGCAAAACACATCTGTTTTCATTACAAAATACTAGATTACCATAGATAAATAGTTCATCTAAGACACTGAAGTTGCCAGCAGTAGGCCTCTTGGGAAAGTACAGTGAAGACATACTAAGATTAAAATGTGGGGATGGGGATATAGCTCAGTTGGTAGAGTGCTTACCTTGCATGCACAAGGCCCTGGGTTCAATCYGCAGCACCAAAAAAAAAAGGTTAAAATGTGCTGAGCATGGTGGTGCAATCTGTAATCCCAGTGACTTGGGAGGCTGAGATAGGAGAATCGAGAGTTCAAAGCCAACCTCAGGAAAAGTGAGGTGCTATGCAACTCAGTGAGACCCTATCTCTAAATAAAATACAAAATGGGGGTGGAGCGGTGGCTTAGGAGTTGAGTGCCCCCCTGAGTTCAATCCCTGGTACCAAAAAAAAAAAAAAAGATTAAAATGCATCCGAGCAGCTCAGGAGGCTGAAGCAGGAGGATTGCAAGTTTGAAGCCTGCCTCAGCAACTTAGTGAACTTAGTGAAGCATTTAGTAACTCAGCAAAACCCTGTCTCTAAATAAAATATAAAAAAAAGGGCTGGGGATGTGGCTCAGTGGTTGAGCATCCCTGGGTTCAATCCTCAGTACCAAAACAACAATAACAACAAAAGATTAAAATGCATACAGCCACGTGTTGCTTAAGGATGAGGACAGGTTCTGAGAAATATGTTGCTATATCACCTTCATGTAAATAAACATAGAGTGTGCCTACACACCCTCTAGATGGTATAGGTTACTCACTCAGCATGGCCTATGCAATCAATAGACATTGTAACCACAAGATATAGAGGCTGCTTGTGGTATAACACTCTAAATAACAATAAAAGGCATAGAAGAATAAACACACAAACCAGTTAAAGACACTATCACTGTCTAGTTTTATAATGTGCATGATTAAATGCACTGTGCTTTTATGTGACTGGTGGTGGTACAGTTGGTTTGTTTATAGCAATGCCACAAATATGTGAGTAATGTCTTGTGCTATGGGGATGTTATAATGGTTCTGACATGTCACTAAGCAGTAGGAACTTTTTAGCTCTATTATAATCTTAATCTCTGATATATGTGGTCTGTCATTGATAGATATAACTTTATTTGGAGCATGAATATTTATAGAGCATATAGCATATTTCACATGTTAATTATTTGGAGTTAATGGAAGCTTTTAAGGCAGGGTTGGAAAATATTTGAAAATGGTGAGGGTAGGGGGAAGATAAATGTTTATGAGAGTTTTTCCTGCCTTTTTCCCTGAGAAAATAGTCTTTAAAACTTAAGTTGTAATTAAATATATTTACTTGTTCTAGGACCTGCTCGACCAATTTAAAGTCAGTTTGGCCAATGAWCACAAGCAGATTTGTAGATCACCATGATCTCTTGACAGAAACCAAAAGGCCAATAGATACAGCTATCTCTCAGCAAGCCTTTTATAGTGGTGAATCTGTGTCAGCAGTGGAAAAGCAATACTTGCATAATAGTAATCTCACACCACAACAAAAAATAGATGAACTTTATCATGGATTTACTGGATTAGACCTTGAAGAACAATGGATATACCCCTCAAGAAGTGATCATTCTAACTGTTACAATATTCAGACAAATGATACAGCTAAGGCAACATTCCAAGAATATCCATTTATCAAAAACTGTTTTACACCACAAACTGGTCTGTCTGATATCATGAAAGAATCAGGAATTGATACTTACCCTTATGGAAGAGAGAAAATATGTGCTAAAGGTCTTGAAGCACCATTACAACAAAAAAGAGTAGAGATATTTCTTTCCCTATTTAATAGATAAAATGAAAATGCAGATTATTGTAGATACCCAGAATATGCTCATCCTAACAAGGCTAAGCTTAATAAATGTTCAAATTTTAGTGTCCAGGATGGTAAAAAATTAGCCAATGGCACACCCGAAACACCAACTGTAGAAGCAGATGCCT